ATATAACTAAAATCATTATTCTCATTATTTAATATGTGATTTTGTACAAATTTAAACTTAAAATAATAATAATAAACTGTATTTATATATTTTTTAAATTTTTTTGATAAGTAATGTTAGGTTTATATATTAAATGTTATAGTCTATTAAATCTTAATATTTTTTCTCATATAGATTACACTTTTGAAGATGAAGTTGGTATGTCTATTGAGATTATTATTATGACTTTGGCGAAGGTCCTATAATTCCACAAATGGCTATTTATTCTGGAATCAACACAAGTTAATTAATAGGTTACTTAAAATTAGATTAATTTTATAACAAAGTAAATATTTGATTTTATAAAATTGTCTAACACTTTTACTGATACTTTTACACTTTTATTCAAATCTGCTTTCAAAAATTAATATCAGAACATTAAATTGGGCGTAGTGATTGAAGTCGTGAGCTATGTTTTCGACCGAAAATTAATCACGCTCCAGCCCCCTTAATATGGGGCATGGAACACAATTCACAGCGACCCATAATATGGATAATAAATTATATAGTACCGTTTGATAACCTAAGTTACCGTCGACAAAAGCTCATGAGTTGAGTTATGATAACATATAACATATATCAAGAGCGAAGAATAAAAATGTTCTATGTCCATTTTTTTTCAAAAAATCGTTTTTTTCGCATAAATTTGTTTTTTATTCGAAAAACTACTCAGTGAGAAACAGAAAATGAAAATGTTCTATGTCATGAATAAATACTGAATCGTTATTATATTGTTATAGTTCCATAGAACTTTTTTATTCTGATAAGTTTACGTAAGTATGAAAATGTTCTGTCGTCACGTTATTCAATGTTGGTTAGTATTAAAAGGTTTTAAATAATACACGTCGATGAAACAATAAAAACAAAAATTACAATAATATCGTACAGTATTTTTCTAAAAGTATTTATTATATACCTAATATAGACTTAATATTATTATAGTTTGAATTAAAAAACTATTTACCTACTTTATTATCAATTTAAATTGCCACCAATTTGTATTTAATATTTTGTTAGGACGTGTTAACGATAATGTGATAGGTATTACTTATAAGATTTAGTATTAGCAGGATTATAAATAATATAATGCATTGTCTCAATCTGCAATATGATTAAAATAATAAAATTAGGTAGGTAGGTACATTTTAGTTATTTAATTATTTATTCGCTCAAATTTTTAATATTTTTTTTTGATTTAACATTGAAACAATGTAAAAACAAATTTCCTTATAAATATTGATGTCAGTTACTCTGATGAGATTTAAAAATATTGTATGGAATTTAAAAAAAAAAAAGTTTTACCTTTGTATATCATATCATTTAGTTGGAATAATGGAAAGATGCTGAGAACTTTTTTCTTCTTATACACTCTTTTTCCAGTTTTATGGTTTTTATAAAATGTGTGGATGTCTAATATTTAATACTCACAATGTATCTGGTAATAATTGTATTAGTTTATTCATTAAAATTATGGTTATATTCATAAGAGAACCTGGAAAAAAGATATTGGATAATGGGTATTTAAAGTTAAAAATCACTCTGCTAAACAATTGGATATTATGACATAGAACCTTTTCATTCTCAACCCGCAATATGGCTGTATAAATTTATAGTACCTATATAGCATATTGTGTATAGGTAATAGGTATACACAAAACCACATATGTCTACATAGGGAATTGGTATTAGCAAGAATATTATATAACTAGCTGATCCCGTGCACTTCATTGCCCATCAAAAATGCCAACTCTATATGAATAATATTATATAATAATATTTTATTTATATTATACCTGATAATTTATTACCTATATTGTAATAGTAGGCACTAAGTAGTTAAGTACCTACCTATTCACTAGGTATCGACATATAAGTTTATAAGTAGGTCATGCGTCGTGTCATAATTAAGAACGGTTAAATATAAAACAATTTTTTCAGTGCTCTGGTTAAAAGAAAATCTTGTCAATCGTTTTTGAGTGAACTTTCATATGGCCACAACATATGCGATTCCATCGAAATGTATAGGTAAGTCGTACGTACATTATGACATTAAACATACCTAATAGCATTGATTATAATATAATATACAATATACTTATACGATTTATACTCGATGCCAATAGCCAATAGGTTGGTTAGATTACATTAAATTTTTTGAAATAATTATTGAATACCTACTAAACTGATTAAATTATATTCAATATTCCTATTCCACCATACCAGCGTTTCTCAACTTATGGGCCGTTGAAAAATTAATAATTAATTGAAGACTTTTAGTAATGGTAGTTAAGGGGGCATAGCCACCCATTTTTCGCATAGAACATATTATTTTCAAAAATATTGCAAGAATAATTGGGTAAATATTATGTCGTCTACATACAATGGTTGAAAACCACTAAAGGTACAACAGTACCTATACGTCTGTACACATTATAGTTATCATCTGGTATTTAACTACATTGGTACAAACTATGTATCAATTGTAAAAGGTAAACACAAATACTCACAGTCCACTGAATAGGTATTAAAGTAGGTACTGATATATTGAAAAGGCTAATACCTATCTATATATTTAAATACATTATTCTTGGCATAGATTATACGCGTTTATTTTAGATTCTGAGCGGAGCAAGGAAGCTAGTGGTTTTACAATGGTGTTTATTTTTAGATTCTGAGTGAAACGATGAATGTATTGATTTTACAATGATGTGTGTTTTTTTTTTTTATTTTTTTATTTATTTTTTTTGTGTCTGTGTACACGATAAGTAGTCGAAATAATGCTTCGATTTTCGACTTCAGTATCTTGTTCGATTGGAAAGTGAATATCGTTGGTGCATTGGGGAGGTCAAAATTTAAATTTCCCAGTAGTTTTCAAGAGCGCCGGGAAAAACAACATAAAAATTAAGGAAAAACGGGAATTTTTACGCAAAATCGGTTTTCCAAAAAATCGATTTTGGTTTTTGGTGTAACTTTAAAACAAATAACCGTAGATACATGAAATTTTCAGTGGTTGTTTATATTTGCATTTTATATACACGATAACATTTTCAAAATATTTTGATTTATTTTGAACAGTTTAGGGACATTTTCATTTTTCGTTTTTTTTTTAGTTTTTTTTCTAGAAATATCAATAAACTTTTATTTGTTGGTTGCGAAAGCTTGAAAATTTAATAGAAGGCTCCTAATATATTGTTTCAAAGGCAGATGAAAAATATTAAAAATCCTTAGTCACAATTTTTTTTTATAAGCATTTAAAGTTCAAAAATTGACAAAATATGGAAAAATCACGAAAATTAGCAAATTATTTTGAGTTAAGAATTCGGAAAAATTTTTCTTTTTAAATCTAAGATTTGAAAATCTAATACAAGATTACTCATAAGATTGTCTACCTTTATCAATAAAAAAATCTCTACCGGAAAGTCAAATTAAATTTTTATGAGCGTTTGAAATTCAAATTTTTACAACATTGGATATTCACTCGATTTCTCATGTGGCAATTTCCTTTTTTTGTTGTAATTAAAAAACGAATTACTGTAGATACATGAAAATTTCACTGAATGTTTATATTAGCATTTCCTATACACCATACAATTTTGAAAATATTTTGACTCTTTTTGAGCCGTTTACGGACATATTCAGTTTTTTTAGTTTTTTTTTTCTATAAATATCAATTAAGTTTTATCTGTTGGGCCAAAAAGTGTAAAAATTTAATACAAGGCTCCTGATATATTATTACAATATCAGTTGAAAAATATTAAAAATACATAGGCACAATTTTTTTTTATAAGCATTTTAACATCGAATTTTGACAGAATTTTTCAAAATCTCGAAAATTATTAATCATCGTAATTAATAAATTATAAAATGTTCAGTTTTTATAGCTAAGGATTGAAAATTTAAAACAAATGTTCTCATAAATAGTTCATACTGTAACCAAAAAATCTAAAAAATATATGAACACAGTTATTTTTTACAGACATTTTAAATTCAAATTTGGACTAAATTACATTAAAAAAAACCTAGAATAACTATTTTAGTTATTTTGTTGTGATTGAATAATATTATTCGTGGGTACTTGAAACTTCTAAAGTGTACTATTATATATCTATGATAGTATCACTTTTTTTTATGTATAACGCGTTATAAGTACCTAATGGATATTGTGATATGATTAATTTGGAATTTATTATAGGTACCTATTATAGGTCAAATTTTGGTTTAGTACCATAGATATGTATATAATATGTCGTATACCTAGACTGACATACCGTCTCCGCTCAGAATCGTTTTTCTTATACAATGATATTATATCGTTGAATTCAAATTTAATATAATCCATTATACAGTGACCCACTTGTAACCTACTGTACAGCAGAGCGACACCCACTTACCCACGTTTTTTATTTTTTTTTTTTTTTTTTATATCCTGTATACAAAATGTCTACCAGAAGGAGTGCTTTGATTTCAACATATAGTACCTTATCTTTTAGCAAATTGGACCAAGATGGTACTTTAGAGAGGTCATTTTTCGATTTTCTCAATAGTTATTTAATGCCATGGGAAAAAGTACTGAAAAACCGCTTAAAATGGGATTTTAATTTCTAACAATTTGTTTATCACCGTAGCAACGAATAAAAAAAAATAGGTAGGTATTATCTATATAAATATCATAAATTATTAACATGTATCATTAACTTATGAGTCAGTACCGACTTATCATAGAACCGCGGGTGATTAGGTTCATGGTAGGAAATAGTATAAAATTAATCTCAGGAATAACGATTTTAATATTTTGTTGTAGTTTATAGTACTCGTCATCGTATCGAGCCGTGGGTAGATTGGTATATTGTATGACATCATTGACATCTTGTATCTTGGAACCATTGAACCATAATAACAGTATGTAGGGTAATCTATATATTATAAAGCTTTAGGTATATAGGTATGCCAACCGCGTGACTATGCCACTGTGGTTGCGATGTTTTCCGTGTAACAAAAAAAATATATTCCAATATCATTTTTCCGATAAATGTCAAATTATATTTTCTATCGTGATAATCATTACGTGTGTGTTCAACTTGATCAGTGCGCCGCTGGTCGAGCAGTGCATGGTGGACGACTGGTCTGACGTGTTGTCGACATCGTTGACGGTATTGCAGTCCAGGGTAGTGGCCATCGCTTCGGTTATATCCAGAGGAATCGTGTTGTACAACGCGTATTTTAACAAGTATCAAAAGTACAGGACGACGTTGGAGAGTTTTAGCATCTACTCATTCTACTCGCCAATGACCGCCGCCGTTTGGAGCCGGTACAAATTGTATTCTGTCGTGACCGTATCGCTGTGCGTCTAACGTTCATGCTGCCGACGAACTTCGTAAAACTGTACAACATGTACTACAAACAAACCGACAGGTCCCTGTTGGTGACGCATTTCTTCTTCTTTTATTTACAAAATTTCAGTATGTACTTGATCGAAAACGATTTCGCAAATCGGTGTTTCGTGGTCTACGCCACGTTCCGAGACATTAACGACGATCTAAACAGGTTGAAAACCGAGCACATCGACCTCGGCAGATTTCCGTTCCTCCGGAAAGCTGCGGATGACCCGTGGTCGAATGCCGCACCTTCATCGCGTGTCGTCGTTTACGACAAAGATTTTTACTGTCCGAGAGACAAGGCGAACCCGTTGACCAACATCGTCGAGATCTTGAAAATCAGACACTGGTTAACCCGCGAAGCCGTAGTCGACATAAACTATCTGTTCGGCAATCACTTGGGACTGTCGATACTCTCCTTGAGCGTTCTTGTGTTGTTGGACGTATATACCGGCGCGTTCCATTCGTTCGCTAATGACCGCGTGGATAAGAAAATATTTCGTTCGATGCTGTTATTCTTTGCTTGTGTATTGCAGTACTCGTATAGGTTCTGTGTAATTACTATCCTCCAGTGCCGCATTTAGACATTTTGCGCCCCGGTGCAAAAAAAAAATTGGCGCCCCAAAGCCCCGGTGAAAAAAAAATTGCTCCTCCCACGGAAAATATGTGAGGTAGATCCTCATTACCCTTTAGATTTTGAGCGAAGAAAAGAATATTTGTTTAAGAGTGCTTTTTAAAAAAAATATTGTTTAGTAATTGCTTGATCCCTCCGCAAAGATATATTGGAATTTATGTCACTCAAACCTTGCTAATAATTTAGTATCATTAAGTTGTTTTTTTTTTAAACATATTTAAGTAGGTACTTCATGGATAAATAAAATAAAATTATATAAAACTATGCAAATAAATATTTTATATTTTATTGTATATAGTATTTTATAAAATTAATGTAACTATATGTATACAGGGCTGGTAGTGGTTTAAGCTATTTAAAAAAAGTGACTGAATTTATTTATAACCTTTAGTGACAAAAAAGTGACCTGCATAAATTTGTTTCATAACAACTTGTCAACTTACCAGTTATTAAACATTAATTATTTTTGAATCTCTATATACCTATATAGTTTAATTGATTCTTACTTACTTAATTTTGTAGAAATTACAAAAAATAATGATAATAATAAACACAAAATTTAATAGCAAATAATTAAATTATATTACCTATTTAAATGAATGATGTTTATAATATAGAATAATATTCAAGATCATTGTTTTGGAACTTCCTTTATTTTAATCATAAGTACAAAACTATGTAATATAAAATCAATACTCCGTATTGGTATTGCCCGTATTATTATAAATAACTGATGTCTGTTGACATAATCACAACAAATTTGGGAACTAGGTATATTAATAATTATCGATCGCTGTAGCTATATTGCTATAAATACATTGATTGTTTAAATAATAAATTTCAAACAGCATAATTATTATACTATAATAATATATACAATACTATTATACTAGATAATATTATATAATACTGTTATAAAAATAATTTAAAGTATACAATTTTAAAAAATCATAAGTAAAGACATTTCTGTCCACAAAATTTTGGCGCCCGGGGCAGTTGTACCCAGTGCCCCCCCCCTAAATGCGGCCCTGCTATCCTCTCAAATGTAACGACAAATCAGGTAAAGTAAGACTTGTTTTTACCTAAATAATAGGTCTGTAAATATTTTAATATGATGGATAGCCGATAGGTCACACTGTCGCGGTTGATTAATAATGAATAATGATTAATGAAGGATGAGATACATTTGAGTTCGGAACATATTATAACTGCGTGGACCTCGGTCTAAAACTTACGAAAAAGAAAAAAAAAGATTAGGCCTTCAATACCTACTAGTTTTTGTGATTTGTGTGTCAAATCACTCAAATTATGAAAAACAATTGAAATCTAAATATAAAAATTAAATTAAACTTAGTAGTCGTATGAAGAGTAAGGGCTAGTTGTACAGTCTATGATTATGGTTAATCAGAGTTTAATCGGCCGAATTTGCCCGTTTAAATATCTGTTATTAGCTGATTAAGCTTAATCATAGTTAAATCATAGACGGTGCAACTGGCCCTAAAACCATATATTTGACTGCATAATAATTCACTCACTAATATGAAAAATTAATTTAATTAATTTGAATCAAGTAACGTCATTGTACTACAACTTGCATAGTAGGTAAGTAGGTTATGTTAGAGTATTAGTAAACACCGTAAAATGGGGTAACTTTGATAATTTTTTACTGTTTTATAACAATTTTACTTTTTATTTTATGGATAACTTCTGTAGTAAGATCAGGTGGGGTAACAGCGAAGTGGTTCTGCAAAATCTCAGTTTAATGGAACACACCATCTTACTGTATTCTTACGTGGAACATAGTTTTTTTATCGTCCATTAATGGACGTAACAGGAATTCAAATTTGTATTCAAAAAAGTGTTTTGATAATTTTTTAGTTGAAAAAAAATTATTCAAAAAAAAAGTGTCGCACCTTAGGTGGTAAGTGGAAAATCGGTACTTTTAGTACAGTTTTATACAAGCTATTCCTTGGCCCGGAGCAAGTGCTATAAACTAATAAAAATCTTCAAAGAAATTCCGTTGAAAGAATTCAATTTTTTAACAGATTTGACGGAACATCAGGATTTTAGATTCTGAGAGGAACGATGAATGTATTGATTTTACAATGATGTGTGTTTTTTTTTGTGTCTGTGTACCTACACGATAAGTAGTCGAAATAATGCTTCAATTTTCAACTCCAATATCTTGTTCGATTGGAGAGTGAATATCGTTGGTCCATTGGGGAGGTCAAACGTCAACATTTAAAATTCACAGTGATTTTCAAAAGCGCCAAGAAAAACAAAAGAAAAATTAAGGAAAAACCGGAATTTTTACGCAAAATCAATTTTTCACAAAATTGAATTTGGTTTTTGGTGTAACTTTAAACCAATGATCGTAGATACATGAAATTTTCACTGATTGTTTATATTTGCATTTTCTATACATGTGGCCACGTGGGTACTTGAAACTTCTAAAGTACACTATTATATATCTATGATAGTATCAGGGTTTGTTGTTGATGTATAACGCGTTATATATGTACCTAATGGATATTGTGATATGATTAATTTGGAATTTATTATAGGTACCTATTATTGGTCAATTTTTTTTTTTAATAGCATAGATGATAAGTATATAATATTATGTCTTATACCTAGATTGACATACAGTCTCCGCTTAGAATCGTTTTTCTTATACAATGATATTATATCATTGAATTCAAAATTAATACTTTCCATTATACAGTGACCCACCTGTAACCTACCGTACAGCAGAGCACCTTTTTTCATTTATAGTTAATACATATAAGTTTTGATTGATATAATGTTAACACATATTTAAAGTTTAATTGTCAACTATTTACATATTTAAAGATGAATATTTGTAACTCATAAATATTTTAGTCACAAACAATGTTTATAAAATCTTTTTAACTATTTAACAAAATAAGACATGTTGTACTTGCCCCATAAATCATGTCGCACATTCCCCGTGTCGAACTTTATTCGGGGGAAGTGCATAATCGGCTAATACTCATTTGTATCATACAATTAGCATAATTCATAAATGAAATAGTATTATAAATATAAAATAACATTTATTTACCTAATTTGAAATTATTTTGAGCAATTTAGGCGGGTTAACTAGACCATTGAATTATTTTAAAAAAATACGAGTAAATAACTGATTAGCTTTTTGGATAGTGATAACTGCTATGTTTAATATCCTAAAGTGTACCTAACCATTATTGTACAACATTCGATTACTATTAAACTTCGTAATCTTCATGAAATCAACTTTAAAATTGAAAGATTGTATTTTTTATAACCCGATTAGAGCCCCGTTAGGCTCTTACCCCACTTGATTCAATAACTCTCAAAATTAAATATTAGTTACAGCTAGTTATGATCAATATTTTAACGTTTTTTAGATATCAATCTTTTTAATATGCTATCAAAGTTACACAATATAGTGGGAAACTTTGATACCTATATTTCTTAATGTGTGTCAAAGTAACCTCATTTTATGAAAAAAAATTCATGATGGTACTCTGGTGAATAAAAATGCATGGGCATCAAAGTTATACCCCATTCTGCGGTACCAAACAAGAAAGTTGGAGATTCATTATTTTTTATCCGGGAGGGCTATGGAAATATTTGGGGGGGGAGACCAAGCACCCTAGTTGTGCCTGTGTACCTAAACCAAAATTGAAACCTTTAGTTTATTTTTATGTTAGATAATCACTACTATACCGTCTACCACTACCCATAACTTATGAATTAATTATTTTATTCTAGGCGGTTAATGCAAAAACATTAATAACTAATATAAACAATAGGTATTTGGATACTAGTACACAGGAAGAGGTGAGGGTACATATTGTAAAAACATAATATAATTATTTTTCATTGTCAATTTTTATTAATGATAACCAATTAACCTTCTATAGCTTCAGCTATTCTACGCTCAAATATCTAGTCGTTGCATTGAGTTCACTGCTTGTGATTTATTTACTTTGAATACACGTCTCATCACTTCAGTAAGTATACTTTTAATTTATGATATAAACGAGGAATGTATTTTTTTAAATTTATATGATCTGTTTGTGTTTTATAGGCTATAGCTGCTGGTGCCACATATTTAGTTATTTTAGTGCCAATTCACTCTGGAAAAAATTGATTATATTAAAATTTTGCATACTCAATTATAATTGTGAAAACTTAAAAATATACTCGTTTGGTTAATGGTTTATGCAAACGAGCAAGATGTAATAAATAATATAGATTTTAATTTTTAGACAATATATATATTATGTTTACTACTATAACTTGGAAAGATATTATTTTATTAGTATCAACCTTT